CTCCCTCTCTCTCCCTCTCTCTCCCTCTCTCCCTCTCTCTCTCTCTCCCCGCACCTGAAAGGCGGCCCCAGCTTACTCTACCCTGCGTTTTTTTTTATCCAACCCGGTAGGTCCGAGAGCTGGACTGCGTGGTCAGCCAGCTGTGTGGTTCTGGCCTAGAGAGTGCCCCCTAAGTACCCGCCTTCTTGTTGCTCCTGAGTAGCCACTTGAGCCACCTCAAGCCCCTTTGGGGCTTTTGTCTTAGATGGCTGTCTTCAGTGTCCCCAGGACCAGTCTGTGAACAGCTAGAATGTATCAGATCAGGGGCCGGCAAACTATAGTGCACGGGCCAGACCTGGGCCTTGGCAACTGCTTGTTTTTGTGTAGCCCCCAAGCTAAGAATGTTTTTTACATTTTTAAAGATTTGAAAAAGAAGAAGAATATGTGACAGAGACTATATGTGACCTGCGAAGTGTAAAATATTTATTACTATCTGGCTCTTTAGAGAAAAGAAATTGCAGACCAGGATTTTCCAAAATGTGTTCTAAGGAACACTGATTTATATGATTCCAAAACAAACGGAAAAGGATTCTGTGGTCACATGGGTTAACCAGAATTAATTACGTTCCTTTAATGAAAGATTTCCTAGGACCCTTAAAATTCCAGTAAGAGCTAGAAGTGTTTGGGGTGTTTATTGTGTGCCAGCTGTTCCACTGGGCACTTCACAGACGTCATCTCACTTAGTCCTTACCACCACCATGCTGGCTGGTAGTATTATCCCCATTTTACGGATAAGAAAACTCAGGCAAAGTGAAATCTTGGCCATGTAATTTATAGCGTGAGGAAGGTATTATTCCCATTTTATTGATTAGGAAACTGAGCGTCACAAAGTGAAATACCTTCCCCAAGGTCACTGGAGTGTCAGATCCCTCTGATTGTGGAGCTTGTGCTCTGCTTTTCGTCGATACTCGTGATTTCCAACAAGTGTTCTGATGCTTCTCAGCGCATTTGACCACAGGGCTCTTACCAGGGAGCCTTCAGGCCTGGCGTTCTCCGGACTGGCTTGGGAAACGCTGCATGTGTTGATTATGGCCCGATCGTCTCAGCTTGTCCACAGGTCACTGGTGTGTGAGATGTACGCAGACACATTTCTCCTCTGCCAGGTTCCGCCAATAGGGGGCGCTGTCCTGTGGCCTATGGCAGCCTTCATCCAACTGTATTGCCCAGCCAGGTTCACCTGGTAGGATTATACAAACCCATCACCTGGTATTGTTACAGTGTCCCTCATCAGGGCAGCTCTACAGTATCAGTCGAATTGAATCCAAGAAAAATCCATATTCTTAGTGGCTTTGTAATGACAGTCTCTGTATGCCCAGTGGTAGGTGTGAAGTACACCCCCTGTTCTGTCGTATACCATCAACCAGAAAACCAGAACTGTCATACTCCACATACCCTTGTCCTCAAGCAGTGCCAGGATCTCATCTTTCCCCACAAAAGACGGAGAGAATGAGAGGTCTGAGATGTGGAGAAGTTGTCTTTTTCCAGTTGGGATGTTGTTCAGCCAGGTGAGGCAGCCAGGAGCACGGGGTCCGCATCCGGCATCCACAGAGTGGGGGCTTTTTCTGTTTGGAACCAAAGTTGGGGCATTAGGTCAAGCAGCACCCTGGACGCTCCTCCACGAACCTGTCAACTCCCAGCCACTTGCGTGTCACCTGCCTCATCGTCCCCCAGTCCATGGGGCTCTGGGGCCAGGCTTCCAGCAGCATCGCTTACAAAACTAACACGGGGAGAGGGGGTGGGGTCAAATCCGTGGTGAATCATAATGTAGTTATAGTTTCATTATGAATGTGAATGAACAAGGGCCCTCATCCTGATTCATTCATTCTCAGAGTGCGAGGAAAACAGTATCAGTTGGCTGCTCTTGGTGATAGATCTGGTTTTTGCCACCTGTTGACTTCATGGGAAAAGCTGACAAGCCGGACTCTGGCGACCTAGCTGGGGACCTCCCACCTGAGGACTCGAGCGCCGCGGTCAGGTGCACTGACCTTGTACTGACTTGGATTCGTGTTTCTCAGGTCACATCAGAAGATGTGAATTCAAGTATCAAGACCTTTTTTTGCCCGAATGAGACCTACAATGACATGGCCACGCTCTTCTTCAATCCGCAGGAGTCTGCCATTCTTCAGCTCTTCCACCAGGACGGTGAGTGCCTGCGCACCTGTCCATTCCCGGGTGCTTGGTTTTTGTCTGCGGAGAACAAACGGTTATTATTCCTCTGACCCTGCGTTAGCCCCCAAACACAGCCAGGCTTGCCCTTCACACTGAGCAAGAACAGGACTTCTCCTTGGTCAGGCCAACCCAGACAAGAGTAGAGTTTCTGCCTCCAGTGCTGGAGGTGAGCCGGCTGGGGGACGGAGGGAGCTGGTAAGAGCCGCGGTGGCCTGGTGGCCTTGGCAGGCATCTCTCTGGTCATGGGACTCAAGCCCGTCCTTGCCTTGCAGGTACCTTCAGCCCCATCACTTTGGCCTTGTTCTTCATCCTCTATTTCTTGCTTGCATGTTGGACTTACGGCATTTCCGTTCCAAGCGGCCTTTTTGTCCCTTCTCTCCTGTGTGGAGCTGCCTTTGGACGTTTAGTTGCCAATGTCCTCAAAAGGTACCATGTGTGTCTAAGCATGTGCAAGTGTTCAAACCTTAGCCCCCATTCCCTTCTCCCAGTATGATTTTAAGGCACGTTTTCGGTTTCTTTCTTCACCAGCTACATTGGATTGGGCCATATCTATTCAGGGACCTTTGCTCTGGTTGGTGCAGCAGCTTTCTTGGGTGGGGTCGTCCGAATGACCATCAGTCTCACGGTCATCCTGATTGAATCTACCAATGAGATCACCTATGGGCTTCCCATTATGATCACTCTGATGGTGAGCATGTCCCTTCTAGGCCTCTTTCAGGTTCAGGGCCAAGTTCACCCCATGTCAGCCTCTTTCCACATCTTGGCTTTCTGTTTCAGGTGGCCAAATGGACAGGGGATTTTTTCAATAAGGGCATTTACGATATCCACGTGGGCCTGCGGGGAGTGCCGCTTCTGGAATGGGAGACAGAGGTGGAGATGGACAAGTGAGGCCATGATTTCTCTGCATTTCTCAGAATTTATAAACTCTAGGGCCCAAAGAATGTTTTAGGGTAGGAAATGGTGATTTAAATTCTCGGGTGGGAATGAAGTGAAACAGTAGATAACGGGAAGGTCATTAACACAGCAGGCATGTTTTGGGGAACTTTGAACAGTTAACAGTGAGTCTGGGAGCCAGGGCAGGGCAGGGGACAAAGGGGCAGGGTGGTGTCTGAGGTGGGCAGGGCCACCCCATGGTTTTGTTTGGCGCCTGTGGCATTTCTGGTTAAATAGGAAGTGAGGTCTCGGCATAAAGTCTGTGTTTGGGTTGAATGTTTAAGTGAGAATCAGACTGCGTCACATGTGCCTGATGGAATGTCATACAATCAGCAGTGATTATCCTGGGCACAATCACCATGTTATCCGTCAGCCCACAAATAGCTTGGGCCTCCTGTGTCTAGGGGTCGCACCTGGCCTTTATAGTCTAATGTAGCAGTCAGCAAACTCCGGTAAAGGGGCAGGTGAAAAATATTTTCAGCTTTGCAGGCCTGTGGTCTCCATCACCACTCTCCAGCTCTGCCTGTGTAATGCGGAGGCAGCCCTAGACACTATGTAAATGAGCCAGCCAGGGGATTGACCTGTGGGCTGCAGGGGCCATCCCTGGTCCAAAGGGCACCCAAACCTGTTTTTTGTTTTTAATTCCAGTAGTATAATTAGCAATTCAATGGGTAATGTGCCTGGAGTGCTAGGAGGGCTTGGCCAATCCCCTGGGCAAGTGGATGGGCTGGAGGTGAGGGGGCTTTTCATTTCGGGGGAGTGGCGAGTAGAGGCCCAGCAGTTTGACAGCAGGGAAGGTCTCATGCAAAGGGGGTGGAAGTACAAAGGAACGCCTGTGTGCGAGGAAATGCTGGAGACGGGTTCGGAAGAGGCCCCCAGGTGGTCCAGGCAGTGCCAGAGAAGCGGTGCAGCTCCATCAGGGCTCGCTCCTGGGGTGCTGTGGGCTCTGTTGTGAGTCCGGATGGCTTCGCTCCCTCCCCCAGGCTGAGAGCCAGTGACGTCATGGAGCCGAACCTGACCTACGTGTACCCGCACACCCGCATCCAGTCTCTGGTCAGCATCCTGCGCACCACGGTCCACCATGCCTTCCCGGTGGTGACCGAGAACCGGGGCAACGAGAAGGAGTTCATGAAGGGCAACCAGCTCATCAGTAACAACATCAAATTCAAGGTAAAGGAAGCAGCCCGAGAGGGAAGGTGGGTGAGAGCCGACAGGTGGTTCCCTGATGCCCACCGAGCCTCGTGCTTGCCACACCCCACAGATGGGGTGGCCCTGGTGGACTCTTAGGGAAAACCCGCACTCTTAATTACATGTGACAGTGAGTGTGGACTTTGTCAGGCCATCAGTTCAGGACCTGGGTCCCTTTTTCCAGTCAGAGCATGGACAGAATTATTTTTTAAGTCAGTAGTCTTCAGGATTCATTATTGACAGTGTGCAGCTTGTATCAGGGAGGGTTCTGGAGTTGCCACTGACAGAAATGGACTTTGGCCTACTTAAAAAGGAAAAAGAAAGTAACAGACAATCAGGACTGAGAGGAAAGTGAAAGCTGTGCGCTTGGGTGTGTACTTGGCCAACAGACACTTGCGTTAGGGCCCCAGGAGGCCTTGGCGTAAGTTCTTCTGTCCTCAGGCTGCTCCTGATAGGAAATCCAGGGCCGGCCGAGTGGCTCAGTTGGTTAAGAGCTCGCTCAAGAGTGCGATCTCTGAGCGACAGGGTCGCCGGTTCGATTCCCGGCCCGAGCTGGCAGGATGTCTCAGCTAAAAAAAAAAAATGAAATCCAGGCAGAGGGAGAGCCCCATTGCCTCACTTGGGTCATGTGCCTAGCCCCTTGGCTTTGGGGGCTTGGGGACACAGAGATTGACATTCCCACCAAGACATGACACGGGAGAGGGGTTGCTCCCCGCTGGAGAATTGAGGCACTGTTTCCAAATCAAAGGAGTAGAGATTAGAGATGATGATTGGCCGGCAGACACCTCGGGGTCTGCGACATGAGCTCCAAGAGGCTCCTGTGACTCACTGCCCCTGAGCCACTGCGAAGATTTCCTGCAGTTCCAGTGTCAGCATGTGCTTTGGACCCTCACCGTCACCCAAATCCTTAAGCCACGCAGATGCTGTGTTGGTGTGCCCGCATGCGGCAGGCCACGGCATCCCTAGTAGACACCTGCCCTTTTCGCCTCCCCATCCACAGAAATCCAGCATCCTCACCCGAGCCGGCGAGCAGCGCAGACGCAGCCAATCCATGAAGTCCTACCCGTCCAGCGAGCTGCGGCACATGTGTGACGAACACGTCACCTCCGAGGAGCCCGCCGAGAAGGAGGACCTCCTGCAGCAGATGCTTGAGCGGAGGTGAGAGCACAGCCCCCCCCCGCCCCCCCGGCAGGCGCCACCGGCCACAGGACCCCGGCAGGGTCAGCCCTTTGCTCGGGTGGCGGCAGGGAGTTCCTGAGTTTTGGGGGGGGTTTGGGGAGGGGGTTGGGGACGTGGACGAGAAGCGATCCTGCTGAGGGTCTACTAGGCAGTGTCTGGTTTTTATGTAACAGATACACTCCCTACCCCAACCTATACCCTGACCAGTCCCCAAGTGAAGACTGGACCATGGAGGAACGCTTCCGCCCTCTGACCTTCCACGGCCTGATCCTTCGGTCTCAGCTTGTCACCCTGCTCGTCCGAGGAGTTTGTTATTCCGAAAGTCAGTCGGTAAGTCTCTCTTCTTGTCCGAACTGGGATTCCAGAAGGCACGAGGTTGATAGGCACACAGCCCTCTACTTCAGGGAGGCGCACACGGGGAGCCGGCTGCTGTCGAGGGCCACGCGCAGCCCCCCAGTTCCCTGGGTTGCAGTCAGCATATCCCTGGGTGACATTAAGCGGTGGGGTGGGGGGTGAGTTCCCCCCCAGTCATTCTCCACTTGGTCTCTGCACTGATTGTCAGGCGTCCTTTGGCCAGCCTGCAGGCTTTTCATATGGTTTCTGCTTTTTAGTTTCTGGTATGAATGAACTTTCTTCCATATATCATCAGAAGAAATACCATTCTTCCCATGAATTCCCCTGCAGTTTCTGTTTTTCGTTTGGTTTTCACTGAGATAAGCAGGGCTGCGTGGGGTGTGTTGTTTAAAGGGATCCCTAGACATGTTCGCCCTAACACACGTCACCCCTCTAGATGGAGTCTGAAAAAGGAGACTGAAAACAACGTTCCCTTGAGACCTAGTTGTTCCAAACTGACTCGCCTGGTTCGGGTCTGGCCCTGGGGAGGCCAGCTGGCTTACGGAAGAGCAGCTAACATGGGGCAGGACGGATAGCGCCACGGGTGGAGTGGCTGGGTCTTAAGGGTGTGGTCTGTGGGGAGGACCAGCCTGGATGGAAGTGGGGTGAGGTGATGTGTAGAGCACGGGACAGGGAGGAGTGAAATGGGCCAGAAACCAGCCAGAGCTGGCCTGATACAGCACAGGGAGTCAGGTGGTGGACAGAGAAAGCTGTGTGCAGAGTGGAGTTTAAGGGGAGGGAGTTCGGGGCAGAGCAGTGACAGCACTTGTGGCCACTGTGGTGGTGGCCCAGGTGCAGTGACAGTCAGCAGCAGTGAGAGCTGAGGGAAAACCCAGGAGACTCAGAATGGAGGGACAGTAACAAAGCTACAGTGTGCGTTTCCTGTGGCTGCTGTATCCAGCTGCCACAAAGCAGGTGGCTTCAAGCAACAGAAATGTATTCTTTCATGGTTCCCAAGACCAGAGCACAAAACCCAGTGTCCGCAGGGCTGTGCTCTCTCTGGAGGTTCCAGGGGAGGCCCCTCCCTTCCTTCCTAGCTTGTAGTGGTTGCTGGCATCCTTGGTGTTCCTTCACTGTAGACACATCTCTCCAACCTCTGCCTCCTTGTCACGTGGCCTTGTTCCTGTGTGTGTCCCCTCTTTTTTTTTTTTTTTAAAGATTTTTATTGGGGAATTGGGGGATGGGAACAGCGCTGGGGAACTCAGGGAGGGGAACAGACAAGTTGCTGTCCTTTTGTTCTTCAGTCTAGTTGTGGAGGACGTTGCTTCACTGTCCCAAGTTGGCACCATCATTGCGCTCTTCCCGGGTGAGGCAGATCAGTCGCCGGCTTCTGGACGGCCGCTCACGGTGGCTGCTGGCCGCTCACGCTGGCTGCTGGCTACACACGGTAGCCCATGGCAACCCACTGCAGCAGGGGCTGCAGCCTACGCCGTCGCCGGCGACTCACGGCAGCCCAGCTCCAGGTTGAGCTGTTGTTCAGCATCTTAGCTGTAGAGGGCAGTGTCACTGGCCCTCATATGTGGGATCCGAACCGGGGTCCTCTGGCGTCCCAAACCAGCTCTTAACCAACGCGCCACTCAGCCGGCCCTGTCCCCTCTTTTTATAAGGACATAAGTCATTGAATTTAGGACCCTCCCTAATCCAATATGACCTCATCTTAGGACCTTATGACCCTATTTCCAATAAGGCCACATTCACAGGTACCAGGGTTTAAGAACTGGACATTTCTTTTGGGGGGACACAAGTCAACCCACACAGTTCTCTATTAGTTAGCACTTTGCTCATTTAAACTTCAGTATAACCCATGCCCGCTTTATAGATTAAGAAAGGGTGGTTCAGAGAGATTAGGAGACTTGCCTGGGTGACACAGCTAGGAACTGCCTTTGGGTCACTGTCACTCCAAAGCACCTGTGTTGGCCCCTGGTCTGCACCGCCTGGCTCTAGGCTGGGCAGATACGGACAGAAAGACGGAGGGGGCTGTCACTGTGGCCCTGCCAGTTGCTGTGCTGGGTGCAAGGACAGCGTCTTGGTTGGGATTGCAGAGCGCCAGCCAGCCGCGTCTCTCCTACGCCGAGATGGCAGAGGACTACCCGCGGTACCCTGACATCCACGACCTGGACCTGACGCTGCTGAACCCGCGGATGATTGTGGTGAGAAGGGCTATCCCAGTGGGACGGGGCTCCAGCAGAGGCCCGCTGCTCGTCTGTGCTGTCTGCGTCTCATCTGGTCAGGGCCGAACCGGCCGCAGGTAACTTGTGTTGTCTTTCTTTCCTCTGCAGGACGTCACCCCGTACATGAACCCTTCGCCCTTCACGGTGTCACCTAACACGCACGTCTCCCAAGTTTTCAACCTGTTCAGAACGATGGGCCTGCGGCACTTGCCGGTGGTGAATGCGGTGGGAGAGGTGAGTCTGAGTTCGGTGGAGGAGGGAGAGCCCGCGGGGCCTGCAGCTGCGCCTGCCTTGGTTGTCCATCCCTGCACCTTCTGGAGAGGACCCTCTAACCACAGCGCTGTGTGAGTCAGGGCTTCTCAGCCCAGAGGACACATCAGATTCCCACAGGGAGGTTTCTCAGATTAAAACCTCTGCAGCAATCCCACTGCGGAGCGGGCAGGTGAAGCCTATTGTAGCTTCAAAACCCGCCTGTCCCATTGCCTCCTGCGTTTCTTATACGCTGTCTCCTGCGTGGCCAGCAGATGGCGCCAGCGGCGCAGCGGCCTCCTTTCTGCTTAGGGCCGGCTTTCTTCCCCACCCTTGACCTGCCCGCCCGTTATGGGCATTTGTAACATTAAATGAGAGGATTTCAAGCAAAATACTTGAAGAGTCTTAAAAGATGCAGACTTTCCCATTTTTTCTTCTTAGAACTCCAGTTTTTCCTTATGCAATATTGTTGTTTATAGAGAAATAAAATATAGATAGGCAAGCAAACAAACAAAATACCAGACCGGATCTCTACAGGGGTAGCCATGTTAATTTTCTAAGGTATATCTTTTATCTTTTTTCTCTGCATCTAGAAATAGAGATTTTTATACATCAAGTTTCGGTGAAAACGTTATTACTATTTATACTGTGTGATACCCTAAATTTTCATTGAATCTAGAAAAAAATCACTTTCGATAGCAGAAACTTTCACTTATAGCATTTCAGTGGCTTGATAGCACCCTGTTATGTGGCCATCCAGTCACTTATCCAGTCGTCCTGTATTGGGGGATATCTACTTCAATTTCACGGCAGTTGTCACCCTTTTGAGGCTTTCCGTAGGTGTCGCCAGGCCGCCCTGCAGGGAGTGACACCTGTCTAGAGGAAAAGTGTCGGACAGCAGAACGCCAGCGCACACAGCTGGTTCTGACGTGGGTTTGTTGCAGTGGATCAAACTGTGTTCCTTGAAACACAGCTGCACTGACAGTCCCCACACAGTTTATGGGGCGGGGTACCCACCTCACGTGTGAGTCAGCGCAGCAACTGTGGGAAAGGACCGTTCAGGAAAAACTCTATTTCTCTGAACTCTTATAGCTTACTTCTGTCACCAGAGGTGCAGGGGTTTCCCTACATCAAGCCATTCTCTGATTCTCTCAACGCCAGTTACAGGTCTTACAATGTAACTCTCTGTTTACCCGGAGACAGCAGATCCCACAAGTGAAGGGGCTCAGTCCCATAAGACGGTCCCCCTGCTCCCACTTCAAATGTCATTCCGAAGTCCCAGTTGTCACCTGTGCTTCTGACCAGCTGGCTATAAATCAGTTTCCCACCACCCCGTGATCACAGAGCTCAGGAAAGCAGTTTACTTACGAGGTTACCGCTTTATTGTAAAAGGATGTAACTCAGGAACAGCCAGATGGAAGTGATGCACGGGGCGAGGTATGTGGGGAGGGGTGCGGAGCTTCAGGGCCCCCTCCGGCACGCCACCCTCCTAGCACCTGTTCACCAGCCTAGAAGCTCTCCGAGTCCTGTAGTCAAAGACTTGAATGGAGGCTTCATTACATAGTAATGATTGATTGCAGTGTTGACCATTGGTGATGGACCCACCTTCTAGCCCCTCCCCGCACACACTGCTAGCAGCTGGGACTGAACGGTCCAATCCTATAACCACGTGGTTGGTTGGTTCCCCTGGCAACCAGTCCCCATGCTTAGGGGCTTTCTCAAAGGTTCATCATTAACATAAATTTGGGTACTGTTGAAAGGGGTTTGTTGTGAATAATAAAAGACACCCTATTACTCTTATCCCTTAGGCAAGTCCAAGAGTTTAAGAGCTTTTTGCCAGGAATTAGGATGAAGACCAAATATATATTTCTTTTTTTTTTTCTTTTAGCTGAGCCATCCTGCCACCGGTTGGCAGCTCAGCGGTAGCTCAGCTCAGGCCGTGAATCAAACCGGGTACCCTGTTGCTCAGAGCTCAAACTCTTGAGCGAGCTCTTAACCAACTGAGCCACTCGGCCGGCCCCCAAATATATATTTCTTATTAGAAGTCAAAATATCACAGTGACTCAGGTAGCTCTGAAAGTGGCATTGGTGAGCTGTGGCAGGGCTTCCGGCCTCTCAGAAGCCTTTGCTGGCTGCTGCACACATACCTGAAACGCGCTGGGTACGGGGGGAACTGAGAAAGCTAGAAAGCATGCTTTGTTTAAAAGGACACGCATGGGGCGGCCGGTGAGCTCAGGTGGTTAGAGTGCAGTGCTCATGACACCAAGGTTGCCGGTTCAATCCCCACACCCTGCACAACTAGATTGAATCAATTACTTGACTTGGAGCTGATGAGTCATGGAAAAACATGATCCATCATGTTTTTCTTCCCTCCTCCCCCCAAAAAAGGATACTCAGATTCAGATTTTAGCGGCCCAACTCCAGCCTTTTTAGGAGCTAAATTTGTCCCATTGGCCTTCAGCTTATGAACACTAGTTACCTGTTTGTCTCGTTTCATCTAGAAATTAGGTAGCCTTTGAAATGAGTGTCCCGATCACGTTGTCACATCTGTTGCGTCCCGAACGGAACCTGCTTCTGTCTCCTCTGCTTCTCTTGGCAGGCCAGGCGAGCTCTGTTCACTCACATGGTTGCCCCAGTGGGTTTTACTGTGCGGGTGACTTGTGTCTTTTTCTCCTTTCCTAGATCGTTGGGATCATTACCCGACACAACCTGACGTACGAATTTCTGCAGGCCCGACTGCGGCAGCACTACCAGACCATCTGAGGGCTCAGCTCGGCCCCACTGCCACGGGCCAGCCCACCCTCTCCTGGAGTGGCCCGGGGAGACGGCTCAGCTCGCTCACGCTCTGCCACCACGGCTGGCTGGGGCTGGCCCGGGGCGCACAAGACTCCCGGTCACCCACTCGCTCAGAAAGCCTACAATCATCTAACGCTTTGCTGGTCAGAGATGCTGGGGATGGTACTGAACCATCAGAGTTCGGACTTGTCTGACTTTCTCAGCAAGTATCTTCCTGTTTCCTGCTCCCCGAGTTCCTACCATCCAGTGTTGGCACCAACCCAGGCCCCTCCACCCCGCTAGCGCCAGAGCCGAAGAGGGAAATCAGGCCTCACACCCACTGGCGGGCAACACCCAGAGCAGTGTCCCAGCCCCCTCTTTGCTGCTTTCCTGGGGAACCCAGCTGTTGCCTTACACCACGACGGGAGGGACTGTGGCCAGGACAAACACTGGGGGAATGCCAGTTGCAAAATTGAGTTACTAAATTCAGGAACTGGGCACTGAGAAAATGACCCATGTTTCAGGGAGGCCTCCCTTCTTTGGGACTCAGCTCAACATCTGCCACATTTCATTTTATGGGAAACGTCCTGCTTCCGGGGTGTGAGCTCTGGTGCTCTGGTCTAGCCCCCGTGGTTTCAGTCTCCTTAGAACCACCACCTTCCAGAAGCACAAAGCATTAAAATCCCACGAAGATGCTGAACAATAAATCTGACAATAGAGTCAGGTTTATATCTGCCCTGGTTTTTAACATTTTTAGCTTTCTCTCCATTTCCCAAATTACATGGTCTCCTAGTGACGCGTTTGACCCTGATTTGTCCCTGCTCCTTTTCACCTCCACTGAGTTACTACACTTAAGTTTTTACCTGCGTCTTCCCGGTAAGGCAGCCACAGTTCAGACGATCTTGGCGGCACCCCCCCCCCCCATCCTCCCCCAAGTTAACTAAAAGCAGGGCACCCTTAGATAAAACTGCCTGGCTCTGGGAATAGTACAGCTGTTTCTAGGATGGAAAGGAGTGAGCTCGGAGCCAGCGACCACTAAGGTATGTGATGTGACTTGAAAAGCCAGAGTGTTGCGATAAAGCAGATGGTTTATTCGAGGAGAAGAGGGTCTGCCCTTCACAAACGCCTCTCGCTTCCCTGCCTACATCCCCAGCCTTCTGAGAGGCTCAGAAATGGGAAAGTCAGGAGGGCCTGCCGCGCTGCGGGCGGCTGTGGTGGGGACGGGGAGGGGCCTCCTGCCAGCACGTGCCCCAGGGCTTCTGCATCAAACAGGAAGTGACTTCGTTTCTCTCCAGGCTGGCTGGTCATCCCTCTCCGCACAGGCACCCAAAGTGAACATTTGGGTGTCGGGCGTTTGCACTTAACTTTCCTCTTACTCTGCTCTTTCCATGTTTATCAGAATCCTAGGCCCATCAGGCAACACTGTGGCAGATGTGCTTTGGGACTCATGGTGGCATTTCATTTGCATTTAGTTTTTAGTTTATTGTTTTTGGTTTTTTTAACCATGGAAGTTGCCTGAGGGCATCAGTGCCTGGCGCTGGCAACACGGTTCTCTCACCCTCAGCCTCCTGCTGACTTCAGATGCCAGACCCTTTGGGCTGAGGGTGGGTGTCAGTCCCACCTTGCCGGCTCAGGTCGTGTGCTCAACACACACGAGGGAATAATAATCCCACTTGATCGAGGCAGCCGCTTCAGGATCTTTTCCAAGAGACTGTGGGGCCCCCTCCGTTCCTCCCATCTTATCTCTTAGACCAAAAGGACTTTGACGTCGTAAGTGTTTCAGCCCTGGATGTGCTTGATTTGTGAGATGTGGATGAAACTCCCAGTAAGTCACAAGGACCAAGAAGGCAAGCCCTGCGAAATGTGATTGTGTTCCACCAGCTGCCACTTTATTTTCAAGCGGCGTTTAGAGCTTGGCCACATTACTTCTTTTATGAAGAAGGAAACCAATTGTACCAGTCAGGACAGTGGTGTGACTGCCCGTTCATCTCCAAACTTAATCAATCTCCTCTTCCCAGCCCTCGCTGAAATGGGCAGAACTGAAGTCCTGCAGGAGGACCTCTGGCCTGCAGGGGTCTGGGTCACCAGCCGCTGGCCTCAGGGCTGCCTGGGTGAACGTTGTTGGAATTTATCCCTCGTGCACACAGCGTTGCTCTTAAGTCACCAGATGTTTTGTTCCCATCCGCGTAGCCCAGAGATAGTCCGCAGAATGCAAATGGCTTCCTCGCCCTGAACTGACTGGTTGGCTGCCAAATAGGACCCAAACCCAGGCCCCTTTGGAAAGGCACATTGTTTCCTGTCCTCTGTTGACGTCTGTCCTTATCAGATAAGCCCAAAGACAACCACTGCTCCACTTGTAACAAACTAACTGGAAGCATCGCTCCTTTGATTTCTGTTAGAAACCTGCATTTTCAGCATCTCACCTGCTACCAGCCCCATGGCCTCCCAGTGATATGGAGGGCCACAGACAAACTCCACACAGGGGCTCTGGGTTTGGCAAGAGGTGTGTGTGTTTTGTCCCCAGCTTGGTGTTTCATGGTTCCCCAGCCAAAGGGATGGGGGAGTGGGGAGCAGGAGTCCCCCCTGGGAGACTCCTTTGCACCCTAGGGGATGATTTGCTCATGACCTTGTTTAATGAATGGTTCCTGGCTGGAATAGACGCTTGCTTGACCCAACCGACCATATGATGTTTCTGATGCAGAATTGCACCCTGACAAAGCCCTTGGTGATAAGAAAGCCTCCAGAAGGGCCAGAAGTGCCCTCCTGGGCCCGCAGTATTGATGTGCAGCCAGTGTTGCCCCACAGCCCCTGTGGGACTTGGTCGTTTTGACAGTAGCAGCTTTGTTTTTTCTGTTTGCTCTGTTCGTTTATGTGATAATGTTAACTAATTCCACTGTATATAAATTGTATTTTTTTTAATTTGTAAAATTCTATTTTTATTTGAATTTTTGGAATTTTGGAAGTTCTCATTGTAACCTTAACATGTCAATAAAACATCTCCATCTGTCTCCTTTAGCCTATTGTCTCCACGGTGTTCTTGCTTTAGAGTGATACTTGGATTTTGTTTTACTCCCTCTCTCTTTCTAATATGTAGAAATTGCAAAGCTAGAATATAGTTTTATAGTCTCAGATCTCTCTCCTCACATAGTTTTCCCAGCCAGACTTCAGTCACAGGGGTCCACTTCCTACCTTAATAAGACTCAGTTTAGTCCTTTGGATCCTGGCAGAAACCACAAAGCTACCTCTCTCCTGTTTCTGCCTTCACGTTAACACTGTTCGATCTTGTTTGCTGATCCTCTTCTCCTATAAAAACCTGCCCGTTCCTTCCAGCAGCTGCTTCCCATAGCAATACGCGGAGAATCCATTTGTATTCCTGACAGTGCACGTTTAGGAATTTGTCCCACGAACTGATTCCCCTGAAAGCTGATCAGAAGGAGTGAAATCAATGCTGAGTCTGTAGATGTTTCAGCCTCATGGCGAGCTTCTGTCGGTGCCATCTGTCATTGCTTTTTGTTCACTTCTGGTTTGGCCAGCAATGTGACTTTGTTCACATTGTGAATTTGTTGTGACTTTGTCTCTGATCTGCTTCATGCTGCCATCCCATCGGCGGTAGAAATGGTCTCAGTCAGTTCAGGCCCCTCTTTCTAGCCCCAAGTTTCCTAAGTTCCAGGGGCATTTTCTGTGTATTTGGCACTTTCAGTGGATTCCATTCAGTGAGAACCCATCGTGTCATAGTGACACCTTAGGAGTGCCCAGCTCACCACCTTCCCCTCCTAGCAACTCCCACGCCCCCAGTGCCCGACCTCAGGACAGATCCTTCCAGGGTCTCCCCTTGTCCTTGTCAGTCCTCTGCTGCTTGTTTTTCTGCCTTTCTGTGTTCGAAGTCCACATAAGGGACATTTTTATTGAAGCAGTTAGGTCAGAGTTCTTTCCCCACCTCCACTTCCTATCCATCAATTCAGTTCTGCCCCCCACTCCCTCTACAAGGAGCAAATTCCCACTTTATTACCTCTTTTCCCAATTTCTGTACAAGATTAAGACAATTTCATGGCCATTTATAGAACATGGACTGTGCCATGTGTGCAGGGGGTGCTGACGGGACATTTACTCTCAAGGAGCTTGCAATCCAGGGACACGGACACAACTGCATACCAAGACAACTGCATACCAAGACAAACTGTCATAATAGAGAAGTCTTCAAGGAAGCAGTGGCTTTTGCAAATGAACCTTGAGGAGGAATGAGTGTGTGTTCTCAGGAGCCCTGGATAAGGGACATTCCAGGTGGAAGAGACAGCGTAAATAAGGGCATGGAGAAGTGACGGTGTAGGGGTAGGGGTGTGTAGGGGTAGGGGTGTTGGAGGAAGGTCGTAGAAACAGATATGTAAATTGAGGTGTGTGGGGTAATGGTGGGGAGATAGGCTAGAGAACTGCTTACTCCGTGCTGTGAGTAAACTTAGTGCCTGGCTGTTTCTGCTTGGGACACCTTTTCAGAAGCAGATACAAAGAAACAGCATCTTCTCCACTGGCTTCCACCTCAGTAAAATCTACAAGTCCAGACACCTTGGACCTGAATTAGGGAAAAATGGTGGCTATTTTTCAAACGTGTTAGTACCCCCAATGCACATAAACTTGCAATTTGTCAGCCTACCAAACAATTCTCCACTAAGCTTTTATTTTCTTAATTTTTTTCACTTAGCTTTTAAACCCCAATTCTCTGCCTACTCTTCTTCTTCTTTTTTTTTTTTTTAAAGATTTTTATTGGGCAATTGGGGGATGGGAACAGTGCTGAGGAATTGGGGGAAGGGGAACAGACAAGTTGCTGTCCTTTTGTTCTTCAGTCTAGTTGTGGAGGACGTTGCTTCACTGGCCCAAGTTGGCACCATCATTGCGCTCTTCCCGGGCGAGGCACATCAATCGCCGGCTTCTGGACGGCCGCTCACTGCGGCTGCTGGCTGCTCACGCTGGCTGCTGGCCACACACGGTAGCCCATGGCAACCCACTGCCACAGGGGCTGCAGCCTATGCCGTTGCCGGCGACTCACGGCAGCCCCGCTCCAGGTTGAGCTGTTGTTCAGCATCTTAGCTGTGGAGGGCAGTGTCACTGGCCCTCATATGTGGGATCCCAACCGGGCGGCCCTCTGGCATCCCAAGCCAGTTCTTAACCATCGCGCCACTCGGCCGGCACCGTGGCCCTCTGGCGTCCCAAGCCAGTTCTTAACCATTGTGCCACTCGGCTGGCCCCCTCTGCCTACTCTTCTTAAAATTGGAAGTGCAATTTACTCAGCTGCAGCAGCTAACTTTCAAAATGTATCAGACAATTTAGTTAGTACTCTCATTTTACAAATGTGCCTTTAAAAAAAAAAGCTGTCACCAAAAAATACTCAGTGTGCAAAAACCATCTTTTGCATACAAGCAATGTTAGATGTAACCAGAAAAAAAAAAAAAGCTCAGATGATTGTAAGTTTTGTTTTAATAAATAAGTGCTCTGGATGTGAGCCAATCTGAAAAATAAATGCCCTTTCAGTTTCCTGGGGCTTTTTCAGGATACGACCTGACGAGGCTGGAGTGAAAGAATAGGTTGAGAACTGCAGTTTGAGCCCCACTCCCCTCAAAGAAACACAAAGCAGGGAAGGAAGAAAGGAAAGAATTTGTTCAAACTCATAGAATGTACAACACCAAGAGTAAACTCTATGTAAAGTATGGACTTCAGGTGATGATGATGTGTAATGCAGGTAACAAACGTGCCATCACGTGGTGGGGGTATTACATGGGGAGTCTGTGCGTGGGACGGGGGGGGGGGCAGAGAGCGATTATGGGCAATCAGTACTTTCTGCTTCATTTTGCTGTGACCCTAAAACCGCTCTAAAAAAATAAAGTTTATTAATTATTTTTTAAAGAGAGGAAGAGACACACTGAAGCATTCTTCTCTCTGAGAAAAAGGTAAAATTGCAAAGGAGTATCAGGCTGAGTTCTTTTCCCCAGGAAACAAAGAAATCACGCCAACACAAGCTTTTTGGCTTCTGTCCGTGGTGCTGAAGTTTATTCATTTTTCAAATCTCTTTCAGTAACAGGTGAGGGTTTACCCTAAAATTAAATGCATGGGGTGAGAGAGAGGGGAAGCCACAGTTAAGCCACTTTATCTACATTTAGCATAAAATGTGAGAAACATTGACAGGAGGCTGCAGCTTGAATAGGGTGCTTGTCACAACTCGATGTCATTGAGATGGGACAAAGTTGAGTGAGAGTCCCCAGGAGAAGAGGGTCTCTTGCAATCTGCTGGAGCCTGGCCATTATCTTCGGTACTACAAAAATAATACAGACATGTTTGTTTCAGTGACCCGGCTCTTCTGGAAACATCAGCTTTATATGACTGCTCACCAACCCCCACTTTTCAGCCTGACGCGACCCACTGAATTTCATGAACTGGTAAACAAGTTGCTCATTAGAAGCTTATAAGGTCAACCCTGGTCTATCTCAATTGACCTTTGGGGTCTGACAGTTCCAGAGTGGAACATGAACTGCCAATCAGCAGTATGAAGGTGACGGCACCATGAACGTTGTAAGTGCCCTGTACTCGTGACAGTAACTTTTTTTGCCTCAGCACTTTCTAAGCAGGCTGTAGTTAAGAATGATGTCATTGTCCCGAGGTTCACGGGGCACCCCCCCCCCAAGTTGGGGCAGAAATTTCCAAGGGAGGAAGCTTGTTACGTTGGTGCCTTTCCTGCTGAAGCTGCCCCTGATGGCATTCTTTGACAAGACATGAGTCTTGATGAAAACACAACCTCCTCCCATCCTTTTTCCATCCCAGTTTTTCTTACCCGGAAGCTGTTGCAACCCAGTCCGCTCTGGGCTCCGATCCTGTCCATCCTGCCCCCGAAGCAGCTGGACCTCCGCAGGCTCCGAGGGGCAGCAAGCAGTGCCCGCAGCTTGCTTTTCAGGAGGGCAGATCTATCGGAGTCCCAGGGGCCCCGCCCAAGGGCACCCCCATCTCTCTGGGCTGGGTTGACCTCCCCGGTCCAGGGAGGCACTTCAGGGAGGGGGCTGAGAGCCGCCCCGGCTTCCTCATTCTGCTCACTTAGTACTTGGGGGGGCATGACCTCATCTTCTGAAGGCATCTTGTCCTCCAAATGGTCCAGCAAATTCTTTACAAAAGGAAAACACAGGGAAAGGAAGAGGTCTCACTGAACGGCAGTGTCACAAAGCACAAAGCCCCCTGGCCCCAGACCATGCCCTCTTCCTGGCCCTACCTTAAAATCCACCAGGTCAGCGTTGGACACGGAGCTGTACAGGGGGTTCGCTCTGGTTTGCCCTGGGAACTGGAACGCCAGGAAGAGGAGGAAGCTCGTGGTGATGGCAGAGAAGGAGCCCATGCTGGCGTCAGTCAAGGGGTGGTCTGCTGCTTGCTGCTTCTTCTCTCTCTTCCAGTTTTCCACGACCAGCCTTCGTCCCTCTCTGTCTCCCAGCTGCTCTGCGCCTCCTCTTTTTATAGCCACCCGGCTCTCCGAGAGAGCAAGAGGGACGGAACCCTCCCCATTCTGTCACTTGCAGCGATAAAGCAGCTGAGTGAGGAGCCAGCAGAAGATGCCCTTTTAAAGTTATCAGTCCAGCCGGAGCTTGTCACAGCCCCTCCACCTTGAGCAGCCCCGACAACCCCCTAGAGACCTCAGCAGCAAGAGCCACATTCTTGTTGATTTGCCTCAAGAGGCTCCCACTTCAAAGGTGTGAGAAGAGCAAAAAAGAGTCCTTGGTTATCTCACAGCAATGCCTCAGGCTCCTTTCTCCTCGGGACCCATGTGGGGAAGCAGAGGGTGACAGTTGGCCAGTGCCCAGCTCACCCTCTTGGTTTGTGGCTCAGCTGTCAGGGACTCCAAATAAGGGTGGGAGAGGAGGAAATGGCAGACAGCTGGCTGCTCGGGACAAATTAGTCCAGATGCTCCAGCTGGCCTCACACCTGACTCATCAGCCTGCTCTTTCTCCTGCCAGTCACTCTCCACGGTCAGGTGAAGAGTTGTTTCC